AGGAAAAAGGCTCCCACTGTCCACCCTATCTAATCCTCTGATCATCTTGTATGTCTCTATCAAGTCACCTCTTAACCTTCTTCTCTCTAACGAAAACAACCTCAAGACCCTCAGCCTTTCCTCATAAGACCTTCCCTCCATATCAGGCAACATCCTGATAAATCTCCTCTGCACCCTTTCCAATGCTTCCACATCCTTCCTATAATGCAGTGACCAGAACTGTACGCAATACCCCAAGTGCGGCCGCACCAGAGTTTTGTACAGCTGCAACATGACCTCATGGCTCCGAAACTCAATCCCTCTACCAATAAAACCTAACATACTGTACGCCTTCTTAACAACGCTATCAACCTGGGTGGCAACTTTCAGTGATCTATGCACATGGACACCGAGATTTTTCTGCTCATCCACACTACCAAGAATCTTACCATTAGCCCAGTACTCTGTATTCCTGTTACTCCTTCCAAAGTGAATCACCTCACACTTTTCCACATTAAACTCCATTCGCCACCTCTCAGCCCAGCTCTGCAGCTTATCTATGTCCCTCTGTAACCTGCAACATCCTTCCGCACTATCCACAACTCCACCAACTTTGGTGTCATCCGCAAATTTACTAACCCATCCTTCTACGCCCTCATCCAGGTCATTTATAAAAATGACAAACAGCAGTGGCCCCAAAACAGATCCTTGAGGTACACCACTAGTAACTGAACTCCAGGATGAACATTTCCCATCAACCACCACCCTCTGTCTTCTTACAGCTAGCCAATTTCTGATCCAAACCGCTAAATCACCCTCAATCCCATGCCTCCATATTTTCTGCAATAGCCTACCATGGGGAACCTTATCAAACGCTTTACTGAAATCCATATACACCAGATCAACCGCTTTACCCTCATCCACCTGTTTGGTCACCTTCTGAAAGAACTCAATAAGGTTTGTGAGGCACGACCTACCCTTCACAAAACCATTCTTTGTATGGTGTTGCTGAAGTGGTGCTATATATAGTAAAGTGCATATAATCTTCTATGTCCCTCCACAATATTAGTCCAACGTTCTACAAGAAGCTGGAGCCAAGTTTCAGCTACAGCTAACCATTGCTATTATTGATTGCGTCAACCCTGTCATTTTATGGTCATTCATGGTGACATTTTAATTGATGAAACACCTTTGTAGCTGACAAACTGCTGACCTTAGATCCCTTGAAGGAAATTCCCACTAATCATTGCTAGGAAGGTGTGTGCAAATGATTGATAGCACCTTGGTAGATGTTGCCAAGCAGGTAATATTGTTTGGGAGAGAAGAAATTGCAGGATACAGGAAAAGAATTGGACTTAGAAACTAACTGAATTTCCATTCAAAGGAGCTGATGCACACTGGAAGTGTTGAATGACATCCTTCAGTGCTGTAATATTCTAAGGTTCTATTGGACTTGATCACCTTTTCATGCCATCTTTCATTGACTGCCAATGAAAATTTGACATACTTTAACTGGAGCTTTTCTAAAAAGCAACCAATACCAGGGTTGTTCAAATCACGGCTGGAGGTGGAGCCATTGCAACGCTTGTTTTCACTTCCTTTGGGAAATAATTCCTCCCAGTACACTAACTGTTGGCTAAAACCAGGTATACTGTCTACAGATATTGATGTAATAGTGGGCAAGCACAGTGCATCTATTGCAACTTGAACTGCCTCATGTCCTTTTGCAGGCTATTAGCTTCCGAAACATAAAGTAGGAGTTTGTCATTGTAACTGGTACTGATAATGTTTCTGTTAATAAGCAATTGGCACAAGGTGGATGAGAACTTATCTGCACACAGAAAGCAAAATAAATTATTGAACAATCATGCATTAAAGCAGAAAACAAAATTGCAAGTTTCTCAATAATTTAGGTTCAACAAATAACATTCATTAACTTATCAAAAAAGAGCATCTACTTTTTTTTTAAAACTAATTACAGATAGTTGTTCTAGAATAGATTGTTCAGAATTGTGGTATCCACTTTATTAATAAGGATACCTTCGCTGCTGGAGGGCATTATATGCCGAGCTAAAATTAATAGTGATGGATTAGGTATAAAGAAATTTATCTCTTCAACATTTTCAACATATTTAAGAGGGAATAAAGTTAATTAAATACAACTTTATCTGTGTTAAGCATATTCCCTAGAGATGTTTAAGCTGAAGTGTGAAGGAAAGTCCGGAGAAAAGCTTTATATTCAAATATCTATTCACAATACCTATTGGGAGATTAAAAAAGTACTATAAGTACTATATTCTAAAGTTCAATATCAAATTGTTTGATCCACTAAGACCTGTGATTTCATCTCTCATTCCCTCTGGTGCTCCTCTAATAGCCTTTCCTCAAATCTCTTAATTGTGATTTTTTTTCAAAAGGTGCTGTGTTCCTACTCAAGTTACTGGATAATAGGAATAGACAAGTAGACCTGGACTGCAAACCATACTTTTATCCCTGTTTTGGGGCAGAAACAGGGCAGTACTGAAATGAAAAATGAGTGTATTTCTGTATTTTGCCTCCTGTCAATCAAGGCCTAACCATAGCAGCCAAAGGCTGAAGTGAGCTGAAGTTGTAGCCTCCCAGGTCCTGTGACTCCAATAAGACTTTGATACATGGCACATTCTCTGTGCGAGACTTACTCAGTAGATCAGAGATTACAGGACCAAAACATTAAGGCCCAACTACCTGCAAGAATTCATCTTTTCAGAAAAGCTTTTTCTACAATTCTTGGCATTTCAGCTATTATATTCAGTGCAAAAACATTCTCTAAGGAAGAACAAGAGTGCTATTGCAAACCACAGCCATGTCCACCACCACCATCCCCCACAGACTCTTACTAATTGGATTAACTTAAGCAACAGATGGGGTTCTTTCAGGATGTCATTCTTGACCCTGTGAGGTATTCATGAAGGTGCTTGCACGTGACCTTACTACGCCCAGGGTCTCTATCAGTATAGAATAAGCAACTGAACATCAGTGAGGGCCAGTGTAACAGTAGATAATAATTCTCATGGGAGGCAATTTCAGACCTGCAACAACAGTTACCCCATTACCACAGCTGGAACTGCCTGTGGCAGTTCAGGAGACCATAGCCTTGAGTTACAGTGATTAAGGTTATTTTGATCCACAGTTGGATCAATGCAATGTAGCCAGGCTGCTGTACATTTCTGTAAAAGCAAGTCACAGATGCAGTGGTTAGTTCCTCTTGTTCCTCATGGACATGACGAGAGAGCAGGAAAAAGCTATTGTAGGGTTTCTACAAGCCAGAATATTTCTTATAATGTAAATGGCTGTGGGTGACATTGACGAGTCCAACATTGTTGCCCATCCCTAATTGCTCTTAAACTGAGCATTTCCTTAGGCGGTGAAGAGTGAACCACATTGCTGTGGGTCTGGAGTCACATGTAAGCCAGACAGGTAAGGATGGCAGTAAGGATTTTGTGAACTATATTGGATTCTATAGCAATTAGTGATAATTGTCATTGTTACCATGCTGATACTACTTTTCAATTCTAGATTTATTACTTATATTTAAATTCCTCCAGCTGCTTTTGTGGGATTTGAACCAGTGACCCCAGATAATAAGCCGGAGCCTCTGCATTACTAGTCGAATGACATTACTCTGCAACAGTCTCCCTAAATTGTCATCGACAATGTCCGCATAGCTCTGACTGATAAATTCAACAGCTTCATCAATCACAGAGTTTAAAACCTTTCAGGGACCCAACACCACAAAAAGCATGCAGAGAACAGATTCAACAAAATCTTTGCCTCACGTATCCTGCTTCCAAAGAAACATTTGCCACAAAATTCAATTTCGTGGAACTTGTTTTATTAGCACCATGCCTGCCATTCTTGCTCCTTGTTAATTGCTGATTGATTTCTGCTGGCTGTTGCTAAGTTTGGAGAACTCTTTGGAGGTTTCTAGTACCTGTTCCCACCATAATGTACATCTCCTTTAGAGGTGAGGCTGGCTTTAAGTTGTGTATGATGAGCAACCACAATGCAATAGAATTCCTCAAGATGGAGAGTGACATAGTTGATTCTGAGACTAGGGTCCTGAATCTGTATAGTGGAAATTACGTTGGTATGAAGTGTGAGTTGGGGGGGCATTACTTAAAGGAATGATGTCGGACAGGCAATGAGTGAATATAGAATCATAGAAGATAGGAGCAGAAGTAGGCCATTTGACCCCTCAAGCCTCTTCTGCCAATCAATATGATCATGGCTAATTATTAAGCTCAATTTCCCACCTTCTCCCCTGCCCCCCATATCCTTTGATCCCTTTAGCCACAAGAGTTATATCTGCCTCCTTCTGTGGTAGTGAATTCCACATACACCACTCTCCAGGTGAAGATATATCTCCTCACCTCAGTCTTAAAATATTTGCCCCCTTTCCTTAGCCCTGCCTCTGGTCTCCCCCACAATTGGGAACTTCCATCCTGAATCTAACCTGTCTAGTCCTGTTAGAATTTTATAGGTTTCTAAGTGAGTCCCCCTCCTGTGAATACAATCCTAATTGTCTCAATCTCTCCTCATACATCAGTCCTGCCATCCCAAGAATTGATTTGGTAGATGTTCAATGCACTCCCTGCAGAACAGGCTCGAAAGGCTGAATGGCCTACTCCTGCTCCTATTTTCCATGTTCCTGTGTGTAGGCCAGCTTTAAGCAGTGCTGATCTCACACAAATTTCAGTCCCCTTTTGAAGTTTACAGCCATTCTAGACTGCTTTTACTTCAGGAATGTGGACTACTATTGTTAAAATTAGTAGACAGCATGAAGCTTGCATGATGTTTGCGTTGGAAGGAACGGCATAAATTAATCATGCATCACAATCCCCCTTTCTCATTCCTTGCTTTTCTATAATTAACCTGCCTCCGAACACAGTTGATCAGTACGACTCAATTATTTAGTTTCCTCCAGTAACTGATGCCTAGTAACTGTGTTATGCTTAAGATTAATAAGTACTTCTTGTTTCCAGCAATGGAATTCCACGAAAATCTGAACAATGTTGGAGTCAAAGAAGGCCTTAAAGGAAGAAAACTGCATAAAGCTGTTGAGAATTTTACTTGGAACATCACTATTCTTAAGGTAATTAATTGCTAAGAATACTGTTAATATAAGACATACCTGATCAGCAATAAAATTTTCATTCGACAGGCATATCAAGGCATAAAATGTGTTCATAGAATATTACAATTTTTAAACATAGAATCATAGAATGGTCACCGCACAAAGGAGGCCATTCAGCTTGTCATGTTTGTGCGAGTTTTCTGCAGGTATAGCCCTGCATATTTTTCTTTGTCAGATAATGATCTTAATCCCCTTCTGAAAGATTCAATTGCATCTATCTCTGCCATTCTTTCAGACATTGCATTTCAGCTCCTAACTACTCATTACATAATTAAGATTTAACATATTGTCATTATTTTTTTGCCACTTACAATCGATATGTGTTCTTTAGTTGTGTTCCTTCCACCAATAAGAACAGTTTCTCCCTAACTACTTTCTCCAGACCCCTCATTGTTTTGAATAGTCCTGTTAAATCTCCTTTGAACCTTTTCTTCAAGAGGAACAGTGCCAACTTCTCAGATCTATTTCACAACTGAAGTCCCCGTAACCTTTCTCACAAATCATTTCTGCACTCTGAATAATGTCTCACATCCTTTCTAAATTGTGGGAACAGGCCACATTTGGAGTATTGTGTGCAGTTTTGGGCCCTGTATCTCAGGAAGGAAGTACAGGCCCTGGAGCGGGTACAGAGGAGGTTCACAAAAATGGTCCTGGGAATGAGAAGCTTAACATATGAGGAACGTTTGAGGACTCTGGGTCTGTACTCATTGGAATTTAGAAGGATGAGGAGGGTCTAATTGAAACTTACAGAATACTGAATGGCTTGGACAGAGTGGATGTTGGGAAGATGATTCCATTGGTCGGAGAGACTAGGACCCGAGGGCACAGCCTTAGAGTAAAGGGAAGATCTTTTAGAACAGAGATAAGGAGAAACTTCTTCAGCCAGAGAGTGGTGAATCTATGGAATTCACTGCCACAGAAGGCTGAGGAGGCCAGGTCATTGAGTACATTTAAGACTGAGATAGATAGGTTCTTGATTATCAAGGGGATCAAAGGTTACGGGAGAAATCGGGAGAATGGGGTTGAGGAACTTATCAGCTATGATTGAATGGCGGAGCAGAGTCGATGGGCCGAATGGCCTAATTTCTGCTCCTATGTCTTATGGTCTTATGGATGCAGTACTCCATTGAAGGCCAAACTAGTGTTTTATACAGGTTTAACATAGCTTTCTTGCCTTTGTATTCTGAGCCTCTACTTTAAAAACCCAGGATAATGTGCGCTTTATTAACCACTCTCTCAAGCTTTCCTGCCTCTTTCAATAATTTTTGCACGTTTACACCCATGTGTCTCTGCTCATGTATCCTCTTTAGAATCATACCATTTATTTTACGTTGTTTCTGTGTTCATCTTCCAAAAATGGATAGCTTCATACACTTCTACATTAAATTTAATTTTCCACTTGTCCACCCATTCCATCAACCTAAGTCCCCTTGAAGTTCTGCATTATCCATCACACATTTCACAAATGTCCAAGGTTTGTGTTGCCTTCAAATTTTAAAACTGTGCCCTGTACACCAAGGGCTAGTTCATTAATATATCAGGAAGTATAAGCATCCTAACACTGAATTCCTGTGTAACTCCACTATAACATTGTTCCAGTGTGAAAATAGGAGTAACAAAATACAAGACTTTTTTTAGGCTAATTAGTGGTGTATTTGTATAAAAAGATCTTTAAAACCATAAATTACTTTCAGCATAAATCTACCAGCAAGATACCAGAGATGGGAAACTATTTATGGGAAGGTAAATTGAATACTGGAACCATTTCCAATGAAGACACATCAAGAAGTGTTTCAGTAGAGCCTTTCAAAATGATGAAGGGTTTTGACAGATTGAATAGGGAAAGATTGAAGAGTTGTTGACAAGGAAGTATCAATGTAAAATTATCACTAAGAGGGTGAGAAGAGATGATAGGAGAAAAGTATTTGCACAGAGGCATGACAGAACAGAGTTTTATTTGCTGTAAGGATTGGGTTGAGGTCGATATCATTCTAACTGTTAGATATTTGAAGCATATTTGCAGGTATAAGGTTATAGAGATTAAAGCTAGGAATTATTTCTGATTTGCTTTAGCAAAAAGTCAATGCAAAAACAATAGGCTAAGTGGCCTACTGTATTGTAAATGTCAGTTGTTCACAATGTTCATGACTTTGATGATGATGAGATACCCCTTTTTCAGAACAATTGCAGTTAAAACAAACTGCAAGCTTCTACTAAAAACAACACGTTAGCATTATGATGAATAATCTCAAGAACCCTTAAAGGTTACAATTTTCCATTGAAATCCCTTTACATTTATTTAGCCTGTAGAACACAGAGAGTTGAAAATAGTAATGAAAGTACAATGATAGTTATTGACCAGATCTGTTGGAACTAAATTTTAGAAAAGTGGCCCCAGACCAGAGAGTTAAAAGCTGCTGCTGCTTGCTTATTTCAGAGGTCACACTAAATTTAATTTCTATTGTCATTTAGCATAATAGAACTACAAACCTGTAATTACGATGAAAACATTTAGTGGTATTTGTAGAAACAATTGCATTTCGTAAAGGATCCCAGAGATTAAAACAACTAACCATAACAATGTGATAGAAAAAGGATTCATATCTGATGTCCTCAACACCTCATCTTCACCATGGACGTCCAGTCCCTATACACTTGCATTCCCCATGCAGATGGCCTAAAAGCCCTCCGCTTCTTCCTCTCCCACAGGTCCAACCAGCCCTCCTCCACCGACACCCTTATCCGCTTAGCCGAACTCGTCCTCACCCTTAACAACTTCTCCTTCAACTCCTCCCACTTCCTACAGACAAAAGGGGTAGCCATGTGTCCCCGCATGGGCCCAAGCTCTGCCTGCCTCTTTGTAGGATACATGGAACAGTCCCTCTTCCGCAGCTACACTGGCCTCATCCCCCACCTCTTTCTCCGTTACATCAATGACTGTATTGGCGCCGCCTCATGCTCCCACGAGGAGCTCGAACAGTTCATCCACTTCACTAACACCTTTCACCCCAACCTTAAGTTCACCTGGACCATCTCCAGTACCTCTCTCTCCTTCCTGGACCTCTCTGTCTCCATCTCTGGTGACCGCCTAGAAACTGAAATCTATTCCAAGCCCAACGACTCCCACAGCTACCTAGAATACACCTCCTCTCACCCACCCTCCTGCAAGAATGCCATCTCCTATTCCCAATTCCTTTGCTCCGTCGCATCTGCTCCCAAGATGAGGCATTCCACTCCGGGACATCCCAGACGTGCTCGTTTTTCAAGGACCGCAATTTCCCCTCCACAGTGGTCGAAAACACCCTCGACCGCATCTCTTGTATTTACTGCACCTCAGCCCTCACATCCCCTCCCCGCAATAACAACAAAGACAGAATTCCCCTTGTCCTCACGTATCACCCCATCAACCTCCGGATTCAACGCATCATTCTCTGCCACTTCCGCCACCTGTAATCTGACCCCACTACTAAGGATGTATTTCCCTCCCCACTCTTATCTGCCTTCCGGAGGGACCGCTCTCTCCGTGACTCCCTTGACCGCTCCACACTCCCCACTAGCCCCACCACCCGCGGCACTTTTCCCTGCAACCGCAGGAAGTGCTACACCTGCCCCTACACCTCCCCCCTCACCTCCATCCCAGGCCCCAAGAAAACCTTTCACATTAAACAGATGTTCACCTGCACATCTGCTAATGTGGTATATTGTATCTGCTGTTCCCAATGTGGCCTCCTCTACATCGGGGAAACTAAGCAGAGGCTTTGTGGAACACCTACGCTTGGTTCGTGACAAACGACAACACCTCACAGTCACGAACCACTTCAACTCCCCCTCCCACTCCTTGGATGACATGTCCATCCTGGGCCTCTTCTAGTGCCACAACGATGCCACCCAAAGGCTGGAGGAACATCACCTCATATTCCGCTTGGGAACCCTGCAGCCCAATGGTCTCAATGTGGACTTCACAAGCTTCAAAATCTCCCCACCCCCGACCTCATCCCAAAACCATCAACCTCATTCCCGCCTCCTTGACCTGTCCGTCTTTTCTCCCACCTATCCGCTCCTCCCACCTCACTGACCAACCCCCACCCCCACCTCCTACCTACTAGCCTCATCCCCACCTCCTTGACCTATCCGTCTTCTTTCCACCTATCTGCTCCTCTATCCACCTTCTATCATCGCCTCCCCCTCTCTCTTTATTTATTTCAGAGCCCCCTTCCCCTCCCCATTTCTGAAGCAGGGTCCAGACCCAAAACATCAGCTTTCCTGCTCCTCTGATGCTGCCTGGCCTGCTGTATTCATCCAGCTCTACAGTTTGTTATCTTATTTCATATCTGATAGCATTTGGAGCTTTCCATACAATTATATTGTCCTTGAGAGAAAAATGAAAGTAATTTGTGACCTGGGAAATGCATTGTTTTCTTTTGTAGCCTGGCTTAATGTAGGTTGCCTGAAGGATCTTCCAGAATATCTGTTGTGATGAATGCACAATGATCCACAGGTTTGAATCATGTCCTTTCCTCAAGTGAAAACCACATCCATTGTTAATGATAATTGCTGTCATAAGGCCAAAGATTTTAATTTCTGTTGTATCAATCATTAGTTAAAATATTTTAAAATTGATCTTTATTTTTACTTCCATTAACTATATTTAGAGACGAGCATTTTTTTAACATTCGGATTTTTGCTTTATTCTGAAAGGTGCTAGTATGTGATTCCAGGGATACGGCAGTACCTTAGCAAGAGCCATATTTTTAATGAATGAACTCAAATATTGTTAGCAAGCTATTTGATTTTGGAGTACATGATAATGTAGCCCAAAATATTCGCACCTTGTACCAAAATGGTGCAGTATTCTAAATGGAGTCACCAGGCAAGAATGAAAAATCTGATTTTTTCTTTTCTCCCTATCTCAGAGAATTCACACCACTGCCTCTGCTGCCTCAACTGAAATCATCCAA